AAAATATAAATTAAATAATGAAAATAGGTGGATGTCACAGTTATAATGGTTTCGAAGGCTTTGATATCCTTCAATCAAACACCACGAGCTAGTTACACATGATAGATCTAAGAAAAAATAGACAGAAAAAAGGTTGGAGAGGTTCTGACGTGTTTTGGAGTGTTTTTCTAGGTTTCTCCTAGCTCATACATACAGGAAAACCCTAATTTACACTACGTGGTGCCTAGGCACTGAAAATCTGTTCTTTCTGGACAACATGGTGCCTGGGCGCTGTGTTGCTGTTTTAAATTCTGTGTCCTTTTTAGTATTTTCATCATAATTTCCTCTCCCTATATTCGATTAAGATGATTCAAGATGTGTTGAAAAGATAACTCAAAGGGCTACAACTTTACTTTGATATCATCTTCGAATTCGATCATCTACTATGTCAAAAACTAGTCTCAAGATGAGACTGAACATTAGTACAAAACTTTTCATCTTGAAAGTTGATATATGATAATGTTTTGGTTATGTTTCATCCATTTGACTCTTTCCTTCATCCAATTGACCTCTAACACTCTTGAATCTTCATCACAAGGTTAGAAGGAAGTTTAGAGTATTTGTACTTTACTCCCTGGACGGTCACATTCTTCTATTTTGGTCCATTTTCACTAATTTCTTCTAAATTACATCATATCCATCAGATTGTTATATAAACCAAAATACGAGATTAATAAGTACATTTTGGTATAAAATAATCATACGAGAGTATTAAATAAAGAGGAAAAACTATGGATTTTACATTCATATCAGTACTATTTGTTTTACAATTCGAAAAATATGTTTCTTTCAAAAAATAAACCAGGGCCTATAATAATATATTTTCATTCACTTTATTTGGGGTAAATTTAGATAAGGCACCATCTTCAATTAAAGTTGTCTACACATTTATAGCACATGGGCAAATTTATCGTGATCTTACAACACTTCTACCTTGAGATGGGATCAAGATTTTTCAAGCTATATTTCTATTATACAAATAATGAATTAAGAAAAATGATTGGCATACTAGAAAATGCTAGTCTCTATCATTGCAAAGTTGATAGAAATTTTAAAAGGTAATGCATATGGTAAACTTTTTCGGAGTTTAAGAGAATTTTCATTGATTGAAGATGTACATATCCATATAGCTAGCAGGGTAGTTACAAACCAATGTGTGTACAATGCTTCGATGATAGATCAAGTTGGAGCTATTTGGATAGAGGGAAATAAAGTCAATATAACATTCGAGAGGGACATAGTTGTGTATGTAATTTCAAGAAGCCGACATAGAAGCTAACATTATTTCAGTTATGATTCAATATATTATCCTTTACATTTCATACAAGGGGTTAGCTAGGTAGCGTCAAGATATAAAGACTAGAATGAGAAGGAAAAATAATGAAGCCAATGTTGAAAGTCCATCCAACAATGTAGATCATCTAATAACTTTTGATTCTATCAATGGCATCAATACAAATGAATGTCCATATATTATCTATTTAATTACAATTCTTTATACTTCAATATAAGTTTAATGCAATCACTATTGCAATTAAAAAAATATTGAGTATATTTTAATGTCACGGTAATTCAACAATGACTCTTCAAAGGTGTCTTGTCATGAATACAAATAGACAAGGTCCAATGTCAAATCAACCCTTCTCTTAGTTGGATGACTACTACAACAATATATTGCTGATATGTACATAAAAATTGAAACAACAAGGCTTGACCTTTACAGAAAACAACAATCACAAATTATATCATAGCTCCATCAAGGAATTATTGACACGGTGAATGCATGAGAGACAAAGCAACATAAAGTTGGAAAAAAGAATAGTTATGCCGTCTTTATTCATTGGAGGACCTCGGAAAATGCATAGCCATTTTCTAAATGTTATGACATTGGTGGAAAGATTTGGTAAAACCTTACCTTTTTATAACAATGACAAGCATTATAGAGTGAAAAGAAATAAAATGGCAATTAAAGAAGGATAACATCCTCAAGATAGTTCGAATTTAACATCAAGAATCTTTAGAGGTAAACTAATGGACTTGAAAACTGATTTGAAACAAAAAAAAATATATGTACATATATTTGGCAAAGTTATTGCTTATGTATATGTTGTTGAGTTTAAAAAAAAGAGGTCTACCTATATTCACATGTTGATAATATTACAAAGTGGTTACAAGATCACACGTGTTGATCACTATAACAAGTATGTTCATGCAGAAACTCCTGATAAACATATTGATCAAGCTCTTCATGAAGCAATTATGGAAAATATGTTGTATGGAACATGCGAAAAATACAATAGTAAAAGGCCTTGCATGGTAAGTAGAGTTTGTAGATTCAATTGTCCAAGGCCCTTTAGCTCCAAGACCATTCAAGAAATGATGCATATCCAATATACAAAAGAAAGAGCGATTGAAAATAGGTCAATAGTATTTGTGTTGTGTTCATATATCTAATCTTATAACTGCCATTACATTAATTTTTCTTTCTCATTAACATTTAAAATTATAGGTGCAAGTAAGAAATTTTATTTTTAATAACTAGTGGGCTGTTACTTACAATCCGTATCTACTGTTGCAGTTTAACTATCATATCAACGCTGCAATATGCTTTGGACTGAAGGTCCCTAAGTATTTATATAAATATATCTACAAAGGTCATGACAGAGCAACTATCCATATTTCACAGGATGATGATTCGAATATCATAATGAAGTAAAAGAGTTTCAAGATGCAAGATGGGTTGCTGCATAAGGAGCTTCAGGGACAATATATGAATTTCAATTGAATGAAATGTCCCTACCAATAGCAAACCTACAACTTTACATTCCAAACCAACAATCTATTTCATATTCAAATCAACGGAACTTAGCCCAAGATGTTCATTCGGATCATGTCACAAGAAAAATGTTGATAAACTATTTTGAAATGTGTATAGAGAACTTCTAGTGAGTTATGTGTGTGACAGAAGATGTCAAAAGTGGACAGAATGAGAAAAAATGGGCATGTTATCTCTCGATTACATTAACAAATACTGGTAAAGGAGAAAGAAATTACCTGTGATTAGAGATATCAAGACGGACGGGCTGGCCGACCCGTGAAAATCGACCCGGATCGACTCGGGACTACGGGCCAGCCCGTGATTCGAGTGGGTGGTTCAGGGTCAAAGAGGTGTGACCCGCAGGTTTCGCGAGTTGCACCTTCACGGGCCACGGTTAACCTGTGGCCCGTGAAAAAAAAATTAAAAATTTTGAAAAGATAAAATTATTGATAATGTTGTTGAAAATTTCAAAAATCTTGCAGTTCCTGAAAATT